AAAAATTGCTGCCGAAAGTGAGAAAAAGAGCCAAAAAGAAAGAAAGAAAAGAAAAAAAAGGGAAAAAAAAGGGGGGGAAAATAGAGAGGAAGTCAAATAAGACGATTGAGGTGGAAAAAAAGAAGAAGCTGCCGGCATAAACAGAAGAAGAAAAACAGCAGAGAAAAAAGGGAGAGAAAAAAAGAGAAAAAAGAAATAAGACTGTAGACACGAGCGGTTTCACATTTCATCAAGTTTTGGTGATATCGTTTTACTTTTGCGTATTTTAATTTTTACAGTATGAATAACTAATTCTCATATTATAGAAAATAATGTAGTCGACTTGTCATCCTTTATTTTTCTATTCAAAATTTCTGTAATTTTTTCTTATATGTGTTGGTGTTTCTATGAGTTTAATACATTGAATTATTTGATCACTAATTTGATAATTATGTAGTCTATTACGAATCGAGATGTGAGTTTGAGATTTAGACCATATAGTAAAATTCGATAAATTAGGATAACGTGTAGAAATTCTTATAACTTATACTAATTATTGCAGTCATAATATGAATTCTTAGAACTAATATTTCGTTTAACTAAATGAGTTCAATGAGAATTCGAGAGGGATAAATTGAATACAATAGAAGAATTTAATCGAACACTACATTATGTTATAAATCTTGAATTAAGAATTAAGGTGATCAATAGATGTAATTGTTATGCACTAATATTCATTACATATTTGAATCTTCAATCAACATTAATTTCCAATCTTTTTATATTTTCAATTAGTTAAAAATAGTTAAGAAAAATAAATACAACCATCATAATTATTTACTTGTTTTTGTCAAATAGGAGTTAGAAAAATTTGATTAAATCCTGAAGTATAGTTCTTATGAGAACGATATCCGAATTCAAAGGTCCACTATACTACTTGTTACGATTAATTCTTACTTTTCAATTTTGTTCTATTTTTTCTTTTCTATTTTTTCATTACTTAACCAGAATTCTTCGATTTCTTCTCTATATAAAGAATATTATAATAAACACTAATCTTATTTTTGTTTTGATACTCTGCTTCACATTATTATTGCTTTATGCAGTGCATTTTTAAGCGTATAATCCATAATATGAATGTCAAGCAAAATCAGAAAGTACTAAATTTTAAGTTAGTTGGATATTAGCGCGTGTTTCTTATTTTTTACATACATACTAACATTATTATAAAAAAAAAAAGTATTAACTAAGCATGTCCTAAGCATGATTAAATTTTAGTACAACTGTCATATTATTAATCAATTAATTTAGAATAGTTGCATCCTCGTACATATCTTGAGAATGCGACCAAAAGATTTCTTTAGTTGTCACATAACAATTTATAAACTTTGAAAATATTTTTTTTTTATAAGTTTCATGTGACATGTCCATATAATTAATCAAAAATAATCTTAGATAGTAATATTCTAATATATCATCTTGGCATCGTGGTTGTTAAGCACAGAGTTCAATTTGCCAAATGGGCTCTTCACAATATACGGGTGGTTAAGTGTTCACTTTATCAAATGGGTTCAGAATATATGGGCTGGGTATAATTTGAAACAAGAAAGCCCATTGGATATAATAAAGAAAAATGAAAAGGAAGAGAAAATTAGATTCAACCTTCTTCCTTTTTAAAGAAATTATACCGGACACAAATTAGGATTCGAATTACCTCAACCACAATATTTATAGCTACACAGCATCTTCTAGAGAGAACTTACCATCTTTATATTGATTTAAAAAGACAAAAATCTCTTATCTTCCACTATAAAGAGGGAAAGTATCACCATATTCCATTTTAATTCATTTCGACACCCTATGAAGAGATTTACTCGTGTTGTTTAACAAACTAACTCGATCAAGACTATATACTTCCATGACAGTAACTAGAAGTGTAGTCCGTTTAAAGAAATTGACGCATTAGATTTTATCTTGGAATAACAATAAAACAAAACAAGATTATATCGCAGAAGGGATTGAACATCATCTTCGGAGTTATTGCAAATTTGCAGTCACACAAGGTAAATATTTTACCCTTTATTTTGTATTTTACATTTAATTCCAAAATCTGGATACCTGGACATATTTTCTACATACTAATTGTTTTCACTCACATGACCAATGACTGTAAAATTTTGTTTTAGAAAGATGCTACATGGATCGGGGAAAATGTCAGAAAAATTGTCAGAATTTCATTCGACTTTGCACGAAAAATATATTTAAAACGGCCAATCAAAATTCGCAACATCAGCACCGGGCAATTCCCTTGACAATTTCTCCTGTACAAACAGCTTTATCCTTTGTTTTAACCCCTTTTTACTTGCTAAGGTATGCATTTTTGGATATCACGTTTCTCGTATATACAATAAGATCTATCTACAGTGATATTCTGTGCAAGAATAATCTCAATATAGTCATAAAAAATTTGATCTTAACTTGAACGGTCATAAATAAGAATAAATTCGCATTATAATAAGTTATAATTTTTAGGTCCCGTATTAAAATGTTTGCCTCCACATAGTAATAATTCTCGACATATTGCAAAAAATATATGCTTTGTTACATTAAAAGTTTAAGATAAAATAAATATTTATCTAAAAGTTGATAACGGAATCAATTTTAAAATGATTTATTACCGAATTCATAATATTTGTAACTCAATTCAATTTTTTTCTTTATTACATGAACAAAATGAAAAAAAAAAATTTAAAATATAAGGACAAAATGTCAAATGAATATTTCTCAAACATCTATACTCGTATATTGTAGATTTAAATATGGCTAAATATATTCAAATCATATTTTTTATAATCTTTACTCAATCTCACACTTGTATTTTTAACTTTTTTTAATTATATCTTATCAGTTAGCACATCTTATCTCTTTTGATGTTTTCTGTCTAAAATTTCAGTCAAAATGGAGTAAAAATTTTATTTATCCCCTGTATTCTTGAATAAGCAAAAAAAAAAAAAAATAACATATACAAAACTATAATTAAATAATTGTCATTCGTAAAATCCTAACTTTCGTTTTAGATGACATTACGAAAGAGATTTGCTATTAATATAAAGTTAGGATAAAGATGTGAGGGAATAAGTTAAGAACTTTTAATGCAATGTATTACATATTTGAGTCATGTTGTATTTACCAAATTTTTTATCAAAATTTTTACACCCCATTCACATTAGGGGGTGGGACCATGGGCAGACATTTTTTAAAACACATGGGACCCGCGCTTTTGTGAGGGGTTTCAATCAAATTTTTATGAGATTTACGATTTTATCAACCATATATTTCACTAATTTATATCAAAATTTGCTAAATTTTTTTTTTTTTTTTTTATCTAAACCAAACTGAGCATGGATGTAGATTGAAAAATTTAAAAACATCATATGATAACCATAAGAAAATCAAGCACTTTTATGCAAAGAGACAAATTAAGCCCCGTTTGGTGCACATTTTTGGAAGAAGAATGCATTTTTACTGTTGATATGATGAGAATATGTGATTAAAAAAGAAGGAAAAGTTATTGATATGATGAAAAATATTAATTTATTGAAAAATGTGTGGTTAAAAATGAGTAGAAAAATGAGAACGAAAAAAATAATGTGACTCAAACATTACCTTAATTGTAAACACCACCTATTTATAATTGATCAAATCAATTTTTATCAACATATTTCTTAAAATTTATGAGTAAAACTCACATTCCCTAATTATAAATAGCTCGAAAACGTGCAAAATAAAATTTTGACCGTTGACGTCTTGTACCCAAAACGCCGTCACAATCCAAGCTAAAGCATGTGAAAATATTCCATGTATCAACACGTGTCAAAATCCAAGACCAAATCCCCAAATCTTCCTTTTCTTGGAACCCTTCGAGAAACGTATAATCCCATATATGTATAGCCTTCCTCGTTGGATTTCCCTTATCTCACGCGTACACCACGTGTTAAAATTCCTGTCCGAATTTACGTGTCCCTCCAGGATTCGTAATATGACAATTCCCCGTGCACCGCCACTACCAATAGAAACTGCACACGTCATAGATTGTACCGTCACGTGATCTCCACGCGTGTACAATAACTGCGTGGCGAATTCTTATTGGTTCACTCGGTGCAATTTCCATTCATTCGCTTTTGAATTGGAACACGGACTATCTGACTCTTTCTAACTTGGGGAAATTACAATATTCGTCCCTCATCTAGTAGCAACAGATCTCTAACTTTTTAAACGACCAAATATGTCTCTAAAGTTTATTATAGTTACAAAATCAGTATAATAATTGAAATTGACTAGCTTGTTTGGCACTTGTGATAATCTATTTATCATCAATCAAATCACTTTTATCCACACATTTCTTATAGCATATCTGATCTCATACTCACAGTGAACATGATAAAAATTTATCATTGCCGAAGACGTGACAAGAGAATTTTACTTATGATTTTCTTAAACAATCATACATTTAGAGAATTATACTTTCTGCCAAACTAGCAAAGAAATTTTTTAATCCTACCCACTGGGGCAGGAGATCAATTATATTTTTTGTAATCCACAAGTACTACGCATTTTTTTCTAATGTTTGAGAGTATTAAATCGTCTTGTGGTCCTCGCATATCAAACTTTTAAAAGTTAAGTTTTATTTTCTAATATTTTGATTGTTGCAGACAAAATTTGAAACGAAGATCATATTGATGAAGTTTACATGGAAATTTAACAAATATTTGGATGGTTTCAATCATTGATGACTTATTTTACAGAAATATAAAATACTGAGGACAAACTTGCTCTATTCTAAAACGCGAGGACCAAATAGCTATTGAAGTAATAGGCTCAGGATCAACTTTGAAACTTTCCCCTCCTGTTTCTTTGTTCCTGGTTTACTCGGATCCATTGCATTTATATATAGCTTGCTAAGGAATCTTTTTCTCTCTAATTTTTTGTGTGTTTGAATCCTAACTCAAAATAAATTGAAAATGGTGGTGAAGATGAGAAAATGGTCACCATGGATCGCAGCTCCACCGCTAGCGGCAACGGCGACTAGGAAGTTTCAGGTGAAGATGAAGCCATTGAAGCTAGAAGCAATAGAAGAAGGTGAAAATGATGAGAAGAAACAAAGGGTTGTTTCAATCAAAGTGAAATGGAAAGGCGAACCCAAGTTTGGATTAATGCCATTTTATAAACATAAAAAGGATTTTTCCAAAGAGAAAATTGTCAAGAAAGGAGAAGCCATTGAATGGGATGATGATGATGATCAGATGGTTCATACTTGTTCCTTTACAATTGCGCCCAATCAAGAGAAAAAGTTTGTCCCTTGGTATGCTTCCTTCAATATCCTATATGTAAGTTTTGATCATCTACTTCTTCTTTGCTTCTTACATGTTTTCCACTGTTTAAAACAAAATTGTTGGCCTATTCTATCCAATCTTCCCAGCCAAACATGTTATCAACGTTGTGCAATGTTTTTATTTTTTATTTTTTTTTCCTCTTTTACTTCTTTTGGTAATCTCATAATATTTTGAATTTGTGTTTTGTATGTATCTATATACAAATTATAGGAAGAGAAGAAGGAATCGAAGAGTAAATTGGCTGTCATCGGGAGAGGTTCTGTTAATTTAGCAGAAATTGTTACAAAAATGGAGACTCAAATTGAATGGAAAATTCCTATCAATTTACAGAAAGCCGGAATTGCAGGAGAAGTCTCCCTCACGGTAAGATATTTCTTCAACTTTAGGCTCACCGATTCATTCTGAAGGTCATATACACTTTTGATGAATCCAACTTTCACGTAGGAGGACATGTTTGAACACAATATAGATTTAAATGTATCCGTTTACCCCTCTAAGAGCTTAATCTTTCAGACGGCTTAGTTCAAACACAGTAGAGTAGATGCTGGAGATAAACCAAAAGAAGTGAAGAAACAACATTCATGCTGCCACCCGACCCTAAATATATCGAGAATGAAGTTTATTGTATTGTTCTCTTATCGCGTTACTCACAATTAATATTATTAGTCTGAAATTGTACATAGTATTATTTTTTTTTTTTTTTTGTCTAATTTGAAACATATATAAACTTTCAGGTGCTACTGAACTTTGATGAAATCGTAGAATCTCAAGACTCGGTGCCAATGAACAATAAATATGCATACAGTTTGAAGGAAAGAGAAAAGGGATTGAGCCAAGAAGAATTGATTATGGATGAATCAGAAAAGTCAGCCATTCTTCCCAGAAAATCCACAGAAATTTTATTGGACTCAAATAAAAAAATGGGGTGGTTTTCTTGGAAGAACAGGCAATTCAGTTGTAAAGGAGTCAAAACTAAAGAAGAGGCATTGATTAAGAAAACAGACAATAAAAATATGACCGATGTTGATCCTCAATCCAATGATTCTTCTACCTTGGACTCGATCAACAATGATTCAATACAGGTACATATGTTATATCAGTGACTTTTATAGACGTTATTGACTCGATCAACGTTAACGTGGTCCATATTTTGTGAGACTGTGGAGTTTAATTACTCTGTTCAAAGATTTCGATTAGTTAAATAGATTTAACATAACTCACTCTAAATTTCTTGAGAATAAAGTTTCATTTGTTATAGTGTATACATGCAAAATATATTATATATCAGTTGTCATGAAATGGAAAATGTTGAAAAAGAAATTATAAGCAACTATTATTTGTATATAGTGCTTTAAAGATTAGGTATGGTCCAACCATGTTTTTATATTTCTAAATGTTTGCCTTGTTGATCATATTGCAGCAGATAATATATTTTATTTTATTTTATTTTAGTTCAGCTGACCATAAGAAAAAGTCTTGCGTCTGAATTTTTCAACAAAAAGATTAATGGATGTGAAGTAACCAGATTACTCTATTAATGATTAAAGAATTTTTTTACTTCAATTACTAAAATATTAGCCGTCTTGAAATCATATCATATGTTACAGTAAGAAAATCACGCCTGGGCAAATCTCTCATGCGCTACAAAACTGTGGGTGGTATGGAAGTCCAGCCCGATACTAGAACCAGGCATTGTCGGGCCTGATGCGGGCTGTAGGGGACCCCAGCACAGGGGCCTTTTTTAAGAAATGGAAGAAAACTTGAGTAAAAAAATGAAAAAGGTGAAGGCCTCTAGACCTAACACTGACTGGGTAGAGCTGCTTTACACCTCTAGAGTGCTGAAAAACACGATTACTTTCACTCTGTAACTACAAAATTTTCTAAATGCTTTTTATGAATCGGGTTTCTGATTGTGTAACATGTCATATTTGGAATGGGACACATTTTCATGTAATCTGACAAACTTATGCTTTTGTTTACACTTTCAGACAGTAGAAGCCACTGAATGTTCTTCAGAATCAGAACCCCAATGTGAAGGAAACACGAGAGATTCTTGGGAGGAAAAGGAAATAGTCAGTAGAGATGGCCAAACAAAGCTTAAAGCCAGTGTTTTCTTTGCTTCTTTCGACCAATGCAGTGATAAAGCTGCAGGCGAGAGTGCTTGCACAGCATTAGTTGCAGTGATCTCACACCAGCTTTGCTCGAACCCTAATGCCATGCCTAACATGTCGGAATTTGACAATCTCATAATGGAAGGATCATCAGAATGGCGAAAATTATGTGAGAACGAGGTCTATGTAAACGACTTCCCAGACCAGCATTTTGATCTCGAGACCATTCTAAAGGTTGCCATTAGGCCTATGGCTATTTCACGCGAGAAATCTTTCGTGGGATTTTTTGGTGCTGAAATTTTTGAGTCACTGGAAGGAGTGATGTCTTTCGACGAAATGTGGAACGAGATCAGCAGAAACAGTAATGAATATTGTGATCAAACAAGGATTTACATAATAAGTTGGAATGACCATTTCTTCGTGTTGAAGATGGAGTCGGATGCTTATTATATAATCGACACTTTGGGGGAGAGGCTTTTTGAGGGGTGCAATCAAGCATATATACTACGATTCGACTCTTCAGCCTTGATGCATCGAAAGACAGAAAATGAAGAGATAATTTGCAGTGGAAAAGAATGTTGCAGGGAATACATCAAAAGATTTCTTGCTGCAATACCACTCAAGGAACTTCAGGAGGAAGAAGAAAAGAAGGGAGTCTCATATTTTTCGCTCCATAATCGGTTGCAGATAGAGTTCAACTTTTGCTACTCGACTCCGCCTTCATCTTCACGTTCATCATCGTTAACATCATCCCCATTTTCTTCTCCGGCCACTTCTACATCCCCCCATTTTTCAAGTGAATAATGTAATTGAGAAACGTAGATTATGTAAATGTCTAGATTGAATATAAAAAATTTTGAACAGTTGGTAGTCGTTAAGCTTTGTAGGACAAATCCTAGTATGTAGGACAAGAATCAGCGAACACAAATCAAATCTAAAAATTGTACATTAAGCTTGAAATTTCAATAGATGCCACCTGCGATGTGACTAATTAGATATCTTGAGTTACAAACTTCTTGTATAATCAAGTTCATTGCAATGCCCTTCTCATTTGAAGATACGAAAACCAAGTATTTCTCGTGCTTAGCTTAAGATGAGATATGTTAAGCATGTGTTTGACACTTATTTTTGGGAAATTATAAATTTTGGAATAGCGACTGATGGAAGAATGTGTGGTTGAAAAGTAATAAAAAACTTTAGATTTGTGTGTAATATTATTTTATTTGAAGAATACGCAATTATAATTTTGAAAGAGAAACATTTTAAAAAAAATTAATGGATGTCAAACACCCTCTAAATGCAGCGTCCTCTAAATGCAGCGTCATAGACCAACAGATACTCAAGTCCATTCAGCAATCCAATAATGTTACAAGTGTGACAGAACTTACAGTAGGATTATTCTGCTTGAACGCCTCTCGACCGCCCATGGACCTTTCCTCTCTCTGTCCACGCGTCTGGCCGGTCAGCCCATTTTACACAACGCAGGCCATTTTAGTCAATTGAAAACAGGAAAAGATAAAGTGTGACAAGAAAGATTTACCTATAGCTTAAAGTTGATCCTGTTCAATGTTCAGTCACCATCACAGAAAAAATGGAATTGTCATTAGCAAAAGAAAGACCCACAAACTAAAGCACCCTCACCTTAAAATTCCTTCCTTTTCTCTTCTGCTGAATGGACAAAATCTACTTGAGGCAAAAGTAAAAATGATGGCAAATTACCCTTCATGGGCATGCTCTCTCACAAGGACCCACTAAAGAAATTATAATTGCCCACTTCTTGCTCAAAAAGTCAAAAGTCTTTTATCGTGTCAAAGGATTAGACTAGAAACGTTAAAATGTGCTTAGATTTAGGCACGATAGTGATGTGCTGTGAGCATGTGGGGCCTAAAGTTGGGTCATGCCCAGCCCAGCTCTAGACTTGTGTTGAGCCATGCGGACCAGTAATTATAATAGAAACTCGTGGAAAAAAGGTATAGGAATGTAGGCCCGACACATCCCAGTGTCTGTCATGCCGGGCAAGAGATACCTAAAGAAAGGGTCATGCAGTGAAAATTTTTGTAGCAGTGTCAAAAATGGACTAGCTCACAGTGACATCGTGCAAGGTTGTGCACCGATATTTCTTTAGACGCGAGTCGTGTCAAGCTCAACAATAATACAAAAAGGGGAATAAAAGCACAATCATTTTCTAAAATAATTAAATAAAAAACTTTACTCGACCCAGTTGACAGCCCTATGCTTTAGTCAGTCTTCGACTGAAACAAGTTTCAGATCTGCTCTTTTTCTGTACAGTTTGATGGAAACCAAGAATTTCACAAGCATTTGCCACCACACAAAAAACGAAAATTAAAGGAGGAAACCTTTTCCAGTCTTTTACCTATAAAATCATTTTCATCTTTCATAATGGAATTAAGAACGGGGTTGAGGACCTCCTATATGAACTACAAATGATATAAGATTTTGTGAAGGACCTCCCTTTGTTTCTCACTCAATAAAACAAGCCCTATCCCCACTTTATTAATAGACTGTGCCTTCCATAAGTATGGACCATTAGTTTTACATCCATTATCTTGATTGTATGGTTTTGAATATTCCAGTAATCATACTGATAGTCGGTCAAAAGACTCAAAACTCTACAGCACAGACAAATTTTAACTTTTTCTCTTCCTTAATGCTGCCCATCTATTCACTTCATCTTACCGAACGAGTCATTAGCCTCTCCTTAGCTCATGCATGAAGAACTTCGGCTTCCACCTCAAACAAAGACTAAATGCTTATTAAGACTACAGGTCTCATATCTTAAAAGGTCTACCTTATTAAGAGGANATCTTAAAAGGTCCACCTTATTAAGAGGAGTTCAACCCCTCGTAAGTTTATAATTTCATATTTATTCGATATGAGATTTCTTAATATGTCTCTATAAGATGTTAGTTCATTTGAGTTTTAATTAGATTGAATTGCTCGTTAGAGCTTAATGACTTCTGATATCATATAGTAAGACTAGTAATTTTATTTTAAAAGGTCATCTTATATATTAATTTATATTTGAATCTTTATTCAATGTAGGATTTCTTAACAAAGCTTTAGAGGATCATGTAATTATTCTTTGTTATAACTCAGAGTAATACTCATAAATTCAATTGCACATCGAATTTTTTCGATCACATCTTCTTCCTAGAAAACCACTACCACTACCTATGTATGCAGCAGACCCCAAGATCGACTTAATAAGGATGGTTGGGGCAAGTTGACAAAAGCATAAAACTATACCAAATCTTAATAAACGAATCCTAATGCGAACATCGTGGAAAAATGGAATTCGTGTAACCAATTCCAATTCATGGAGAAAACGACTTAGTGTACCTTACATATTATTTTCATAATAGATATTCATGGACACTTGATCAAGACCAACCTAGAAAAGATCAGAGAAAACTGGGTCTATTGCCCTCGGGTATTATGCACCAAATGGGATATCCGTATTGCTGATTCACATATTCATTTCTCTAAATCACCTTTAGAAAATCAGCGAGGGGATTAAAACTTCGTGAAGTTCTTCATCGTATCAACAATTTTTTGTCACGGGAATTCCTGTTTTATAGCAATTACAAAGAACAATACGAAAATTGCATTATCATATTATCGAATACTTTTACATACTGAACTCGTTGGATATCTAAACTTCATATTTGCAACCACAAGCAACTCATTGATAAGTGATATCAAACATAGCTGCATACAGCAAAGATTGCAAGAAAAATACAAGCTGGACTTGTGTTCCAAAATTTTGAACTAAAGAACTCAAGTTAATTCATGGAGGTGGACTGCTCATTCCTTCACTGAATTGAGGCTCAACTGCCAACAAACTTGCTTATTCTTAGCCTGAGCAAAGAACGAAAAATCCTCACTTAACTTGCTCCTTCCCTCTCGAGCATTGCCCAAATTTCCATTTTCCTCTTCTTGGGGACAATCATTCTCCATACTTGTGCATGAAACAGATGGAGAGCCCAACCGCAGTGATAAATCACATTGGATATCAGAAGGGTTATTGGAATCGAGTTTGTCTAGTGATTTCTTAGGAGAATCTGGTTTACAAGAGGAACGGTTTTGTATGGACCTGGTTTTATCATTCTTTGTGGGATGAGAATATGAATTGGAAGGCTGCTTCAAACCAAACTTCGGGTCATCAAATTGAAGTTGATCTGCATAATACAAGGGATAAACTGAACATGAAGTTTGTATTGGCTCACTTTGGTAGTTACCACTGGGAATCAAATTCTTTGGTAAAACGGGAAATTTCACGTTATTACAATCTTTGTTTTGCACAACTAAACTTTCAACATTTGTGCCGGAAAACGAGGAATTTATGGCGGTGGAGGTCATAAATTTCGAATACTGCAACATAAGTTGACTTTTCAATGTATGATTGCTACTATCCAAATTGCTCGGAGGAACAGAGGTGGAGTCTGGAGTCTCAGGCCTAAGGTAGTATCTAGGCATGTCATTTCGCTGACTTCTTGATGATCTACTTGGAGTGCAGCCCAAATATAGAGCAGCTAACCATAGGGGAACAAAAGATCAAAACTTTAGATTTCAGTTGTTCAATTTGGTGTTAGTATGATTTATAATTCAAAGACTTCCAATCCCAAATCAATAAATAATCAAACTACAAATCTAAAATCCCAAAATCCTTAAGAGAATGTTTGGTAGATAGTACTAAACTGGAATGGTGGTACAATGGACACATGAATACTGTCTAGTAATTGCTAGTAAACCTTATCAAATGCCCGATAAATGCAAGAGGATTCACATATACGGATGCAGAGTTTCAAATAGACAACATGACTCAAATTCATTAACAGAAATATCAAAAGAATATTATACATTGATCTTTACCTGCAAAAAAGTAAGATTTAAATGAAAGTTACCTTCAATACAAGGCTGCAAAAGTTCCCCAGTTTCCGAACTCTCGTCTCTTCGAATTATATTGTCAATAGCATCATTCACTCTGTGCCAAAGAGTTTTAAGATTGGAGTACTCAGCCTGAGGAAGTAAATCCAAGCCAAACATGAACAAGAAGCAACAAGTGCACGTTTACTGCGCAATAATCGACACGATTGTGCAGCATTTAACAAGTTTTTTTGTTTCGTAGTCCTCCCTACCATACGTGCAATAAAAGAAAAACTTAACTGAACTATACCACAATAGAGGGAATTTTAGAGTGGTAAGGGCACAAGCATGACCTCAGAATTGGCTTTGGAATACAGAATTTCTTCAGCTTTCAATACCACAATGGGCAGATTCTTTTGCCATTCTTTGTTCTTCTTAGTAGCTGAACTGTGAACCTCATTCACAATCCTAACACAACCATATGACAGAAAAGGGATTAAAAGACCCGCTATCGAGAAAATAAGTGTCCTACAGAAAGAGTACCTGAAGATTTCTTGAATTAGAGAACCTCTAATGGGATGGTGAGCATCACTGTGCCAAGCTCTTCTAACAAACTCATAAGGCCTTGGGCCAGGTCTTGGCATCTTCAACTACTGGGAGTAAATAGAATAATCTGGTTCTTGAAGAAAATAAGTGAGTGAAAATACAGAATACTGTAATCCTGGGAAGATTTATCAACTCTCTTTTTTTTTCTCTTGGTTTTTTCTTTACTTTTTGTTGGGATTATGGTGTGTAAATTCAGGGAATGAAGCTGACAAAAGTTATAAGAATGAAGAGCATTATTGACAGTGGGGGATGAGACAACTAAAGCTATTTGTACAAAAATGAGTAATAAAAATTGGGTTATAAAGTGTGTTGACAAAATTCAGACCGTTGACTTTAAATGATTTAAAAATCTAATTTTAAAATGATTGATATAGATGTTATTTTTTCAACCAACTTTGTAACTCAAATTTGTACATATAGTATAATTCATGAGAAAAAGACGATAGATATGATAAACACTTTTTATTTCTAACAAAATACTCATCACTTAAAAAAAGAGAAAAATACTGTTCTTCACATCCTTTTTCTGTTCTCATTCACGCACTCAATTAGTCATGGAGTTTGACGAGTTTGTTGTGTCCCCACTCTGCCACATGCCTGCTTCCCCATACTTCCCCTCCCTCTCCCTCCCTCCCTCCCTATGTATAGATATATTAATATATGGACCATTCATCATTCATCCGGTGGCGGAGAAAGCTTTGATCATGTCCTTGTCACTGTCGGTCGCAATTCAAAGAAAAAGCCCAGTTTCAATCTTTGCGACACAGGCCACTAAAATTCGGGAATAGTCTCAGAATAAAGAAAAAGTAGCTGAGAACGTGTCAAACCACGTAGAGAATGCAACAATCGTGTTGCATATAACTCGCTCTGGATATATACTTGGGGGAATCAGTTGAGATGGCCACCATTCAAATTTTTGTTGTCCAACTAGCCTTTTGACCAAATTCCTTAAAAAAAATGAAATTTAATTATTTAAAAGTGTGAAAGGACTATATAACCTTTCATTGTAAAATCAAATTGAAGAATGAATTGAAACTTTCATTCACGTCAAAACATATTATTTCCCAAATTGAAAATTGAAAACCTCATTCTCCAAATTCTCAAAAATCATCTTCTCATTGATTTCAAAAAACACATCTTCACCTTCTTCTTGTGAGGGCAACAATTGTGGAGGGTTTTAAATTGAACGGAAACATTGGTATTTACTAAGGCAACTATTGTGGAGGGTTTTGAGGTTTGAAGACAAGATAACCCCTCTTGCATAACAATTTTTAGTGTCTTTGGTTCAAATGGGAGATAGGTGAATTCAGTTCTAACTGTAAGAGTGGCATAATCTTTCAAATAAACTGGTGGTTGGCGAACTCGATAGGTTGAGTTGAGTTGAGTTGCGTTGAGTTGAGTTGAGTTTTGACAGAATGATTAATTCGTCAACAAAATCTCGTGGTCACATGCATTAGAAGCTGTCTAAATGGCAGCTTGATTTTTGTTTTTTTTTTTTTTCGTCTTTGAAGGAGGAACATTATTTTTGAATCGGCTTTTGAATGAGAGACCTCAAGTATGTCTGATTTTCTCCATGATTCTATAGATGTTTAGCTAGAGAAGTAGCTAAATCCGATGTTAATTCAAGATTTTTCAGATATGTTGCAGTGGATTTCCTTTGATTTGTAGGTGGAATTTATGTCTCATTTAAGTCATGAAATCTTCCTTGCTGGTTGGTTATAGTAGATTCAAAATCATGCAAAAAAATGTTGGAATGTTTCCATATTATCAACATGATTATAACTCATTGAAAAATGCATTGCCTGAACCTGTCAATTTTAAAGGAGCCGAGTTTGGAGCTTGTATTGTGGCTAGTGATTTATCAGTATCCAATCTCACCTTTTGTTTTGATTTGATGGATACTCAAGGCATGTCTATATCTCGTCAATCCCATTGAATTTTGGAGGGGGTATTAATTCTTCTAGATTCAATGGAATGATGAAGTCAAACGACATATTTGACAAAGTTTTAAATTGTCTATTAACTAACAACAACCCTCCTCTTTTAGTCGGGATCGGGACCAGTTGTGGAAAATATAGTCTGAGTTAGTCAGTTTATTCTGTAAGAAGAGGAAAATTCTCATCGCATTTAGCATGTTTGTGGACATTAGGGAATTAATGGTGATAATGACCTAGACCGTGAGATATGGGACTGAAATTATTAGTGTACTTCACCTGTGTTGCATTTGTAATGAAATAGAGCTCTGTTCTTTTTTCATACGTTCTCCTTGTGAAGGTAGGTTGACATGACCAATACTATTTATGGTGTTGCTAAATAGAAGTCATTCGCTTCATTCTAAGCTATGTAGAACATTTATTTATTCTTATTTTGTTGCAGGCAAATAGGACGAAAACTTTGGAAATGAGGAATAGATGTACACTAGCTTTCGGCAGTGTAAATGAGGAAATGGGGGAGTGCCTATTATGCTGCTTTAGCAGAACTTTTTTGGGTTTCTCTTTGCTTTGTACATGAACGTTAGTAGATGGGAAAGAAGCGGGCCACGCGTCATTCGTAATGAAAAGAAGTGCTGAAACTCTACCTAAATTGTTGACTATTTGAGATTTTAACGAGTGATTAAACTTATAACATGGAATGATTGGGTAATGCTCCACAACTATGCTTGATTTTTTTGAGGAGCTAGTGTTAAGAAGAAAAATAATAAAAAGTTCTCTACGTGGGATACATTTTATAAGTAATTTTTTTATCATTTGTAATTAAAAGTGCAGATTTGATTCAAATTGAGGCCGATTTTGTCTTTGCTAATTATTAATTATTTTTTATTTTGCTGTGCTGTGGAGAAATGGTATGACACATTGAAGAAAGAGTTGTTTCGGCATAGGTCTTCAAGCTTTAGATTGTTTTTCATTTCTGTAATTCTGTTAATTAGTTGAAATATTTTGTCTAGACTATTTGAAGATTTAATAATGTTATCTAGCTACTTAGACTTTGTCTAGCTAGTGCATTTGGAAGTTGATGCTTTTAGGATATTGAAACTTTCAAGTTTGTATCATATATGTTCAGGATATTGATGCCCTCTTTTGATAAAGATACATATGTCGGAGGTATGTCGAATGACCGTGAACGTTCAAATCGTCGTTTTAAGCATAACGATATAGTTGTCGTTCATGTGGGACAAAGTATTTAATGTCGTTCTAGTACAAAGATGCACTCATTCGAAAAATGATAGTGAAATTTTTCCCGAGACACAAAACGATATAGAAGTCGTTTCAGTACGAAAATTACACTAACTAACATAACGATATTGAAATCGTTCCTACAATAGAAAACAATTTAGATATCGTTTTGGCATCAAATACACACTGTTTCACTGATTTTTATAACGATATTGATATCGTTCCTGGGTCACAAAATGATATAGATGTCGTTTCAATACGAAAATTGCACTTATTAACATGACGCTATTGAAATCGTTCCTGAAATACAAAATGATTTACATATCGTTTCAGTATCAAATACACGCACTGACCTTTTCTTTGTAGTGTCAAACTCACGAAATAATGTAACGACATTTATATCGTTTCAGGGTAAATGTGACGAGTTCGAAATCGTTACAATTCAAATAATAACAACAACGACATTGATATCGTTTCTTTTCATTTAATACGACTTTCATATCGTTTCAACTAAAATCATAACTAAAACAACACTTATGTCATTTCCTTTCGTATCAAACGAAAATAATATCATTGTAGTGTTAAACCCACAAAATAACGTAACGACATACATATCGTTTCATAATAAATTTGACGAGTTTGAACTCGTTTTCGTTGAAATCGTAACTAAAACGACCTATTTTTCGTTTATTTGTACTGAAATGACAATAATATCGTTGTAGTGTCAAATACGCAAAATAACATAACGACATTCATATCGTTTTAATGCAAATTTTACGAGTTTGAAATCGTTACAGTTCAAAGAATAACAAAAACGACATTCATATCGTTTCCTTTCATTAAACACGATATCGTACTCGTTTCAGTTAAAATCGTAACTAAAACAACACTGATGTCGTTTCTTTTCATACCAAACAATTCGATCGTCCACGATCATTCGACATACCTCTAGCATATGTATGATGATTGAAAAAGGGTATCAAGTGGGTTTATAGCACTCGAATGGCTCAGAAAGAGCGAAATGAGATACTTTCTTTCTATTGAAGTAACTTAAAGGTGGTAGACAACTATGAAATACAAATGTTCCCATTGTTCCAGTTGAGTGAAATCGAACTCGCTTGATGACCTAGTTTTATTTGTCTTACGTACGATGGATGTATGTCGGTTGACCGTGGACGGTTGAATCGTTATTTCTAAGCATAACAATATAGTTGTCGTTTTAAATCTAAAGAAACGATATCAAATTTGTTGTAGTTGTTATTTGAACTGTAACAATGTCGAGCTCATCAAATTTGCACTGAAATGATATGGATGTCGTTATGTTATTTCGTGTATTTGACACTACAACGATATAAGGGTATGTTTGATAGCACACATTTTTTAGGGAAGTAGGAAAACAATTTCCATTTTCAACAAAAGTGGTTGTTTGATAGTTTTTTTTTGCCATGGAAAAGAAATTCCACCCACCCCCCACACATGCACCAATTCTGGGAAATCAATGAAACCATTTTCTCACCATTTAGGTGGGAAAATGGGTTCTAGGTGATTTGATTTTTTTTTATTTTTTTTGACAATTAGAACAAATTTCATAACCAATTGTAAAAAAAAAATCATTTTAATGGACAATTTTCATGTAAAACAAAGTCAAACGAAAACTAAACTTTGATTTCGTTTTTTTATTATTACGTTTTGGCAATGAAAACAAATTTTATAACCAATTGTGGAAATAATTATCACTTTAATGGACAATTTCCATATAAAATAAAGCCAAACGAACACAAAATTTTCCGGGTGAAAAATTATACCAATTAAACACACTTAATTAACAATTCCCTACAAAATATTTTCCAGGCAATTACTTTCCC